TGTTTACAGAAAAATTTTCACGGACGAGTACTATCCATCCGGGTATTTTCCTCAGACGGGCACAATGAGCCTGTTATAGTTCACCACTAAATTTTCTCCGATTCTTATTGGTTTAAAATGATCACGTGACAATAATTGGTGATATGCTTCTGATTTGCATTAAGATGGTTTTTGTTTGTTTTCTTTTTCAAATTTTACATTTGGCTTTCACGGCTTTCATCCAATAAAAAGTTGAAAATAATTCAATATGATTTTTGAACTGGCGCACGGAAGAAAATTTAGTGGTGAACAATAAAGACAATAGAATGTTAATGTCTCGGAACTATCGGTCTGAGAGTAGCCTGCATAACAAGCGTTTCTGTGGGGTTCAGGAGCAAACAATTACATTTCTTGTTTTTGGCTCTCGCCCCATTTTCCTCGCAGGCAAAACATCGAAATTCCCGTTCCTCGGTCTTTCTTTGCTTCCAAACCCCACGGAAACGCTTGCTACGCAGGCTAGTCTGATAGTTGCCCCTTGGAAATTTGATGTTCTTAAAACTAGCATATTTGCCGTCGAAGAGTCGCTTCTCGGGTAAATATTTGTTTTAAGAACATCAAATTTCCGCGGGGCAACTATCAGCCGATAGTTCCTCGACAGAAACACTCCATTGTTTAAATGGTGTCTCTCCTCGGATGAACACTATCACGTCTCGTGATCAAATTAAACCAATAAGAGTCCGAGAAAATTTAGTGGTGAACTATAATTAAACAACAGTTTCTGGTCAGGAACTATGGGCCGATAGTTGCCTCGCGGAAATCTAATGTTCTTAAAAGGCGAAGTTAAGGCGAAGGCGAGGCCTCATGGGCTATTGACCCGTAGCCCGCAAGGGCTACGGGTCTAATAGTCCAGTTCCTGAACTCTCCTTTCTTCCCGCTCCATATAGGGGCTGAACCCGGGCGGGCGAAAAGAAGAGTCTTTTCGCCCGCCCGGGTTCAGCTCCTTTATGGGGCGGGAAGAAAGGAGAGTTCAGGAACTGGTACGGGTCTAATTGTTAAATAGTGTCTCTACCCCGATGAACACAAAATTTAGTAGTGAACTTTAATTGCCTAGAGTGCCCGTCCGAGCTGGAGAATGTCTACTAAAGTGGATAAATAGTTTGTTGGGAGGTTGGTTTTCAGTAAAGTGTACCGCATCTAGGCCTCAAAAAGAATCTGACGCTGGCTCCAGCGTCCATTTGTGCACTGCATCAAGAAATGGAAAAATACGTTGATAAAAGATTTTTGTTCAGTGAAAAATTGGATGAATATATTTGAGACTGAATCCTGAAAATTTCCATCTAAAATTCACTTCACGAGTCATCCTTCAGTTTCTTTTCTGTGCAAGAGAAACGCAAGGTAGCGTCGCCTACTGCTTTTCCGCAGACATTCTTTTCCTCTCGCGAGATAGAGCGAAGGACGAGTAGGACCTGGAAACGGTTATGTCGGTGACGGGTATGTCAGTTATCTGATGGCGTCAAGAAATTTGGCGCCAAATCTTGTGGGAGGAAAAGAAGCGCCTGGATATTCGGTTGTCTTTCTTCTGTATCACCAGTATGGAGTGTCTGAAGTCCCTCGCTCAGCGACTGGGAAGAACCGAGCACGTCAAGAGCGACCACTGTTTACTGAACTGGAAGATAATTGATGCTTTAAAGCATATACTGCCACGGGAATTTGCTACCAACAGGCGTCCTTGATTCAAGCAAACGCGAAAATTATAACAATCTTACAGTAATGATTACTTCGTATATTTATAATACCTAAACTTTATAAAAATATTTATATACAGCTATATTTACTGCTCACTAAAATTAGAAAATTTGTTTTCGTATCTAAATAATTATATCCTGTATGTATGTGTAGAAATTTTACAAACGTAAATTGAATGTCATTTTGTGGCCTGATAAACTAAGTTATTTTGCCTACGATCGGTTTTTGTCGTCTAGAAGTAGAAATCCGGCGACAAACGCACATTATACAAAAGTGTCAGCTAGAAAAGCTGACTTATTTTCAGCGAACTTCGGTTAAGGACTTACTGGAGTAAAGCAACCAGGTTTTCACCCGCCGTTTTGATCGCTTGACAGCAAACCAACACACCAATGATTAACTCGTACAACCATTAAATAGAAAAGTAAACGACTTTTGTTAACGGTTTAAACTAAACGTACTGATGTTAGAATGACCTGATGATGAAATAACAAGTTGCGACACGCCGTGTCACTGATAAGTACACCTAAACTTGGACCGAGTGAAGTTCAATTTAGTGAGTAATCGTATCAGTCTCTCGACACAGTCTATAAGAGCCAATTTATCAGGGAAGGTTACGTGTACATACGAGCAAAGTGGCCCATCAGGCCGGCACTTATCTCCGGTTTCTATGTACCACGCAGCGACTGGGAGAATTTCTACTCCCCCCCGGATGGTGTGCCAGTCCATCGCAGTGTTACTCCAATGCATTAACTTCGCCGCTACCCATTTATACACTTGGGTGGTTAACAGACAAGTTATTATCTTTCCTACTCATCAAGTGACGATCATCTGATTTCTTGATAGTGCAATGAAAACCTAGCTGGTCGAGTAGCGAAAAACCTGGAAAATTACTAGTAACTCAAAACCTTTATGAAAAGGAGAATAACTTAGAACCGATAGCATTTTTAACGTGGTGGTACAGGCGATAAAATTCTTTTTCTTCTTGCATTTTGTGCCTGTTCCTTGATCTTTTCTTTTCTGTCTTCCATTTGTTGCTCCAAAGAACCCATCACCAGCTCACTGAAACAAACCAAACACGTCATATTAATACTGGAATTCTATTGGTTAAACAAACCAAACACGTCATGTTAATACTGGAATTCTATCGGTTAAACAAACCAAACACGTCATGTTAATACTGGAATTCTATTGGTTAAACTAAACCAAACACGCCATGTTAAATTCCTCTTTTATCGTTGGTCCGTTGAATAAGATCTGAAAAGAAAGGTCATTCCGGCGCTCTCGCTTTTTTCGCTTACTAGACTACGAAACAGTTGGTATGTAAGCACCGGTTAGTTAGACGAGGCACGGCTTTCGAAAAGCTTCTGAGACGAGTGGAGAGAGACTCAAAATCGGCGCTGTACCTATTCAAATTCAAGTGTAACGATTTAACAACAAACAACAGTCATTACCAAAACTTGTAGCAACCGTAAAATTAAATTCCCTAACTCATAATGCAGTTTCTCTCAGGCCTATTCTCAGAAGATAGCTTTGATCAAAACTGAAATCCACGACACCTAATGACAGTAACTAGACTAGAAAACGCAATACGACTCACCTATAATTAATTTCACCATCCTTGTTCCGGTCCAAGCCTTCTATTAGCTTGTACAGCTCAACGTAATTCATGTCAATTCCTGTTTCCTGTTGAGAGAGACGAGAAAATTGAATTGTTGATTTGGTAACGTTTTGACATGGTCGTGTTGATCTAGATTTAATGAAGTTGGATTAACTAGGGAAGGGAATACTTTGAATAATATTAGCGTTTTATCCATGGAGCTGACCTTTAGTCCATCCGCAAATTCCTCGACAGTGATATTCATACTTTTATCTTTATCCAGAGTATTAAATAAATCCAGCAGTCTCATTTTATTGTCCTCTATATAGTTCTTTAATATCTTCATGGGCGTTGGTCGAGGCTTAGGTTTGGAGGCGGCACCTCCCGCCCCACCATGACTGATCTTCATTTCAGGTCTTAAATGTTGTACTTCTTTACACAGTTCTATGAAGTCGTTGTTGACAGTGATGTCCTGAAAGCCAAAAACAATTAAGGTGAGCAAAATCAGCAAAACGTGCGGGTGAGTCAGGAGATGTTTCGGTTTTCTTACCGTGAGCTCGATCTCTATCAGTGTTGATTCCGGGTTATTTTTCATGGCGTTCACGATAGCGTACGCTCCAGGACTTTGCATCGGGTTCTTTCCGATCTGAAATGTTAATTAGGAAAATAAATACTTGAAAATACTGAATGACGAGTTCATATATGCCTGGTAAAGGCGCATTGCCAACACGCTAAGCACAAAGTAGACTCCACCTCTTGTAAAACAGTTTTTTTATAATAACATATAAACTACTGCTAAACGTTGGTTAGTTTTGCGACTTGTCATTTTCCAAGACGTCTTATCTGGGATAAGCCCTATGTATATCTGTTTGGACTCAGTTTTTCCAATTCTGGTCAATGGACACTACTCATCCTGTCCACTTGGGATGTTCTGGGCGCTCGGGGATGTTCTGTGCGATTTCCGGGCCTCATGGCTCATCTTGTCTCATAGCATCCCCCATAGCGTCTGTTCCATAGCATCCCACAACGAACAGGGAAAAAAAAAGATGCGTTCGTCTTGAACGGGCACTGGTTACGTAGTATGCCATTTTATGCTACTATACTGCTTACCTTCAAAACCTGGAGACACGTGTTAACCATTAGTCCTTTGGCCAAGTACACAGCACCTTCAGCTGTTATTCTGTTATTCCTAAAGACACAAAATATTCATCACTATCAGGAGCCTTCTGATTATAGCTCCTGTCACTATGAAGTAGTAAAGTGGTATGAGCAAGCAAAGTACTCGCATTTGAAATGTGAAAAAGCACTGCAACATTGAAATGAAGCCAATTCATAGTCAGTGTAAACCGTTTTTCGAAGAAACCTGGAAACGTAATATCTGAGAACCCATGCAGTGTTCATTTTGTCACTGGCTTTGTATCCAAGTTGTGGTTGCTGTTCACTCCTCGTAAAAGAACGCGTGTATTCATTTACAATTATCACGCGATATTTTATTGGCTGCGTAGATTTTAAACCATAAGCCACTGCATGCATCTCTCCAGGTCGGCTTGACGACATGTCATAATGTTTTGAAACTTTTTCACTACAAAAATGCGCAAGCATAAAGCGCAGGATGGATGTCATAAAGAAACGATATTCTAAAGCGGTATAACTATCATTACCTGACAACATTACAAGAGGTTACTTACGTGAGATCTAATTCTCTCAAGGTAGGATTTACTTTCAATGCTTCACCCATGACAAGTGCTCCGTCATTACCAAAACCATTCCATGCTAGGTTTAAAGTCTTCAGAGTGATATTCTCCTACAAGAAACAACATATATGCTGGTGGTAATGTACAGCCTTACTCTGATCTTCTGGCTTTTTTGTTTCACTTCTTACAAGATCGACTAAGGCAGACAAGGGGTGTTCATAGTCTAGTCTTGTGACTGTTTTTTGCAATGCGTCAAGCTAGTTTAAATACAAGAGACACTGCTTCATGGTCAGATTTTTGGATCCAAAGTCGTACAGATTTTCGAAAAAGCTGTGAGGCAAGTTGCACAACAGACTATTCAAAGAAGGTTTTAAATCTCACATTTTTTTAATTATGTTATTCTTGCATGCATTTTATTGTTCTTAACACCCTTTTTTATGTTTTCATAGTTTACATACTTTTACTTCTTTGTTTTATATTTATACTTATGCAAAATTTTTATCTTCACTTTTAAGCTTGATAATGACCGAAGTTCGGTCGAAACGTTGCGCGCTTTTACCGTTAGTTTTTAGTTCAAATTGTTTTAAAAAACCTTTACTTATAAGTATTACAGACAATAGGTTGTAAAGGTTTGTTAAAGAGAAAGTCACTGATTAATGCAATAATCACTTGACAAACCTTTAGAGATAATGCAACTGCACATGCCCCTTTGTTTCTCAAGTGATTCCAGCTCAGATCCAAATGGTCTATTGTATCATTTGCCGCTAAAAAAACAAACACCAATGAGAAACTTCAATATACAGTTTTGAATCAAAGAACGCCATTCCTTTTTAGAACACAACTTAACTTAGATACAACAAAATTTGTTTTTCAAAAGACACCTAATGAAACTTGATTTTTGTCAGTGTCCAGTGGCCTGTGAGTAGCCTTCTAATCTCTTTTGAATTTAATATTAAGTAGGAGATAATCAATTAACTACCTATTGCAGGAGCAAGATGTTGACCTCCTTTCTCTCCCAGCTGATTATGACTCAGACACAGATACTTCACTCTGTTATTACTCTACAAATACACAAAAGAAAGAACATTGAATGGTTTTTATATGCCATGCATTGACAGGCAGTATTTAACGCTGCTTTTGGAGGGTGAGTACATTCATGAAATCTATTGCTACTATTACAAGACTATCTCTTTCAGGATCATTATCTTTAGAAAGTTCTCTAGCCTTCACCAACCAATCCACCCTCTACATAATTTGCAGCCTATAATACCAAGTAAAATTCATTTTTTGGTGAATTTTACAGAGATAAGTGAACAACCTTGCTATTTTGACAACTTACTTTATTACTTTAACTACCATTTTCTGTCAGCAACTTACTTTTATTGCTTCTGCCAGAATTTCTACAGCTTTGTCATCAAAACCATTTCCTATTAAATTAAAAAAAATGGATTCAATATTTCTGACTTATGTCTTGTGTCACAACCAAATCACATTATTATACACCAGTCAAGGGTAGGTACTGTATTTTTATGAAAAGAGAGATCTAAGCAGGCATCTCCTCGGGGCTGGAGGCATACAGTCCCAGAACAAGGCATTAGAACAGTTTCTCATAGGGAAGAGAAGGGGGATTCCCCTGAACTCCAAGCTCCAGAACTATCTCTTCACGCCTTTCTATTTTAACGCTGCCTTTTTAACTTGTGGAAATTCAGCCTTTCCCTACTATTACTAAAAGAGAATTGCCCCTTTGCCTTGACTTGTACTACAGAATCGATGACAGTAAAGCAACTGAATTATTATAAAAATAAGCTCACCACTTGCAGCAAATCTTGTGATATTTGAGTTGTGTAGTAGGATATCTTTCACTGATTCTGCACCACTTATTCCCAGTTTGTTTTCTGACAAGTCCTTTAAAGTAATATTATAAAATATTATAAAACAACTAACCTAATAAAAATTATGTAGCCACCAGTTTATAATTACAACCTCTTAGCACTAAGGAAAGATGTAACTTTCTTGTCTGATAAAGAGGTACTGAACAGTGCATGTATTGGCTGTAACTTATTTTGTTAACTTTCTTTCAACAAAAAGGTTATTTATCTAGATTTGTCAACTTCTTCATAATAATTTAGGGCATCCACTTGCTGGGAGTTGACACTATATCTGCATTAAAATGTACCATTACAAGCATGAAATGCATACAGAGGACTAGGTACTGTAGCTGCACCTCTTGATCAAGTCCATGGTGCTAAAAAATTAAATTGAATGTTTCATTACCAAGTCAGAAATATAGCAGTTTTCTCGTAGCATTTCAGCAATGTACCCAGCTCCCTCAGCACTGATCCAGTTATCTGCCAAGTTCAGCTTGATGACAGCTGTATTAGTCTGGAGAATTAAGTTGCCATCAGTAAATTTATGCCAGCCATAATGACACATAAGTCAGTTCTAGACAGCTGTCTTGAAGCACGATTAACAGGGACAATAGCAGGTACAGATAGCAGGGGTTTTATTAACATTTTCAGCAGGAAGGCAGTAATGGTTTTCACAGGCAGTCAAGACTTTTTGAATTGAACTTCTTTATAAGAAAAGCTTTTTTCTGGATGGTCAAACCAGGCTGGTAAAACTCACAGCTGGTCAGTTTTCCTAGTACCTAGCCCTAATGAACCCCTTGGAAATCTAGGTCACATAAATTTTAAGTTTCTCAAGTTTGCCATTTTCATAATCTTTCCAAATATTTTCAAACTTCTATTCTTGTTCCTTTTGATTTATCATAACGTCTAAGTTGGTGCTTTTTTCACTTATACATAGTCTTGTCAGATTTTATTGGTTCAAGCTAAATGTGATGTAAAAAGACTGAAAATATTGTGACGGCTCCTGTCTTTAACATGGTTGCATCTTAAACCCACCACTAAAGCAATCGCTATAGCCTTTGCCCCCATTGGACCTAAACCATGGTGTTTGATATCAATGTCAGCTTGTTGCAAGTTTCGATGAAAATAAGAAACTGGTATAACTCCTGAATCTCTGCAAGCCTGAAGATATGTGGCTCTTCCTGTCACATCATACTCTTCTTTGCCTTCTGAAATTAAGAAAAACAACAAGCAGTGATTCACTTATTAGGCTAACAACCATGTCCAGCTTGTAATTAAAAGTCATTTTCAACATGATATGTACAATCACTAGGAAATGACTTGATACTCTGATAAACTCAGGGACCACCTGGGGGCGGGGCTTGGGGGCTTTAGCCTCAAAAATGCTGATACCTAACACACTATAGGTCAGCTTACAAATGTGCCTGCATGTAAATGATTTCGCAGCATTTTAAAAGGCCTCCATTGTGACTGTCCCCTTTAGTCCATAGGGCTCCATTCTTGACTGTCTCTTGACTGTGGACAGCCATTTTCAAATGCCTACATTTCACTGAAAATGTTGAACATCTGGTGAAAATGCAGAAGACTTCATCAGCATTTCACAATTGAAAATGCATTAGTGTGAACAGAGCCAGCCAGCTAATTAACATCCCAAGTAGCTTTTTTGGCTGGAAGTCTGCAAATTCAAATGCTTCACAGGGTACAAACATGGGGACGAAACATAAAAAGATCATCTCATGTTGACTACAACATCACAAGTATGTTTCTGTCGGTTAATTTATTTTGGTTTGAAATTTATTCAAACCAATTTGCTTAAAACTTCCATATGTTTGACTTTAAATTTTATCATTGCAGTTGCAGGGAACAGATACAATCATTTACTTTAATTTGGTGACAAACAGAAATTATTGTTTTGTAGGTAGTTTCAAAAACATTTTAAACCACAACATAGTAGGATAACTTTCGTATTACCAGTTCACCATACTACAAATCCAACAATATTACAAATTAAAATCCGTTGTTATCGATCTTTCATAACAAGTCACGCACACAGAGATGTGTACTTTCCATGCAGTCTTAAAGGAACATCACGAAATGTCATTTCACTGGTGACTTGAATAATTATCAATGATCATGAACGTTAAGGCTTATGATTATTCATCCAAAGAAAAGTGTACACAAGTTGTAAACAGCGATCTTGAAAGTGAAAACATATTCATGTCAACGTTCTCAATGCAATTAAAGCTATTGCTCTCATTTCCATACTCTTCCACGCTAGGCTTTCACGGTTCAAAGGTATTCAATTTGGAAAAAAAAACAAGGGAAGAACATATCATAAAAACTTTGCTTTTTAGAACATCAGCTCATCAGAAGTTGTTTATACTTGAATAAAGATGTATTCTCGAGGGATTCATTTCAATAACTTATTAAAAGAGTATAAATTAACGAGGACAGCCCTCCCAACAAAACAACAGCCAAACCGCACAGAGAGTTCAAAGATATAAACTTTATATATTGCAATAGCGCGTTTACATTGTGAAGATAACTATTAGAAGGTTAACAGATCTAGACAAAAGGCGTCAAAGATAAGATGACAGACAGTGTTGTCATTGACTTGCAATGTACTTAAATATGCAGGCGAAGAAAGACTTATTACATGTAAATGAGCATTATCGCTCAGTCTTCCACTCTAAAATTCTGTGAGCTGTAAGTTCTAATTAATCATTACCATTTCCAGCTTGTTTCATTAGCGAATGCATTCTTATATCAATCAAAGTGGTATTCAAATTTTACCCACCGTCCATTTCCAAATCGGTGTCCCAATCTTCTTCATCATCTCTACCTTCAACGTTTTGAAAGAAGTCATCGCCTTCGGGAGATAACGAGCCAGAAGACTCTCTTCGTAGAATGCCAGTTGGAGGGCTTAATGCAGCCTACAACGCAACACAAAACTCTTTCCAAATTTCTAATACATGTTGTAGGCTACAAAATGTTGCATTATTGTGAATTCTCGAACGCGCGCATACCTTACGGAAACCAAAAGGTGAACTTGCTCCACTTGCACGGCTCAAAATCACAGAATCTTTATCTGAAGGTGACCGAATCGGAGTAGAAATTCTTTCCGATCCTACTTCCATGATTTAGTTCACATTTACCCCTCTCAAGTCGAAAACATTGTAGGCTTCACATCTCACATCTGCAAAGTTGTTGAATGCTCTTTCTAAAAGCCTCGCTTACATGAATGATTGATCATTTCAGTCTCTGTTGTCATAACAACTAATCAACATAATTATTCTACATCTACATCTACATTATGGGGGGTCTTGCAAAGGCAGGCATGATCCCATCACTGCAAGACATTAAATAAAAAAAATAAAAAGCAGGGTGGGGGGTGGAGGGTAAAAAACCTTAAATATATAATAAAATATGTACGTAATTTAAAAAGATTACTGAGAAAAGTTAATTAAGATTAAAAAATTAGAACCTAATTAAAATGTCATCATTCTAATCTAAGTGCATTTTCTTGAATAATTGACTTTTTTTAACATCTAAAACATCGTTAGGTAAGGCGTTCCATTCTCTAATAGTTCTACAATAAAATGAGTTCCTATAGCTTTCTGTGTTCGGAGTTAG